ATAACTGATGCTAAACAGTGTTTTTTTATTTTATAATTATTATTATTATTATTATTATTAGTATAGTAGAATCGTCATTGTGCAAAAGGCTCATTAATCTGGCACAATTAAAACCTCATTTGTATTAAAGTACATCCACAAGTCAATTTTAGTTGCATCTTTGTATTGGTGCTTTTAAATGAATAAATGATGGCTTTTCCTCTGCTAATATACGATATTTGAACCATCGTGCTGATCTGAAGAATCTATAATGTAACATCAAGAACCTTTTTAATCTCCAAAGAACCATTAAGTCAACTCAAGAAGCCTATACAGCAAAAAAGTGCCCACATAAATAAAGTTTAAATCAGAACAAACTGCTTTGGTAACCTAATTTGACTTTTTCTCTTATTCCTTTCTAGTTTCACACTAACTTTGTTTAAAAATAACCGTTAGAAACCGGTTTTGTCGGTCCCAATCTCTTAAGGGGAATATCCTTCATGTTTCTGTAAATTAGAAATGGTTTATTTCTACAGGAAGGGGAATTGCTTCTGCATTAAAAGATAGTGAGCATCCAGTATGCTTCATTGCTGTTTTAACCAGGGCTTTTAACATGTTTGCTCATCTACCAGAAAGCGGACAAATTAGGGTAAGCTAGTGGATGAAGCTTAAGTGATTCAGCATCAAATATTTATCATGTGACCACATTGACAATTGTGGGGAAAACAAAGTGAGGCCTGCATTTAGCTGTGGTAATGTGTAGCTAAAGCACTATTTCATAGTACCATCCATTTGTCTTAGTTGGCTACTACATTAAAATGGGTCATATTGCATCATTTGCATTTATTTTTCTGCATTAAACTATATTTGAGTAATACTTGCACATTGAAACACTACTCCAGGCCAAGAGACCATCATTTACATAGTGTTGCTTTCTGGCCTATATCTGGCATGCATATAATCAATGATATTTATGGAATGTTAGTCTTTATTAATATTTTAAATTAATTTTATTTGTACATTTTCTGTTTTAATTTTAAAGGTACACTATGTAAGTTTTTACAAAGTGGTTAAAAAAAACAGACTGTGTTCGGCTGAAAGAGAAAAGTCCTGGGTGAGTAAATTATGGGATAATTCTCATTTTTGGGCGATTTATTCCTTTAGTTTGTGGCCATGATATACAGTATAGCCTACATATTTTTTCCCACGTTATGTGCTGGGCTCCGTACTGCGCTGAAGCAGGGTAAAACAAAAACTGCTTTTGTAGAAGGATTAATTACTTTTTTAGTTATTAGAAGGATTAATTTTTTTTTTATCCTATTAGAAGGATTAGTTATTTTTATACTGGTTTACTGTGGGAGAGATAATGTAAGATATATCTGACCTTAAGATTTTTGCCGCCCTTCCACTACAATTTTGGAGCGAATCAGTTTGAAAATAAATTATGTAATTAAAATGTAAAATTTAGTCTCTACACCATTTCAGTCCCATCAATACTAATGCTAATGCGATATTCAACATTTTAATTAAGCTATTAACAATGCTTAAAATAAAATCAATTCAGTTTGTTGGAGAAATAAAATCCTTTTCACCATTACACATTCCCTTCTCTGTTCTCTGCAGTGCAAACACTTCCTGTCGAGCAAAAGTTTTGTTTTGTTTTCCTTTTTTGGATTACGACACTCTCAAAAACAATAGATACTGGTGCCAGTCATCATTACTCGTTGTGCGATAATTTTAATGAGAAATTTGTTCCTTTTGTCGTGTTTATGGAGACCCAGAAATGTCTAATATGCCACAGAAAAAAAGGAAGAGAGAGCTGTAGAAATGAGATTGTGAAGGGAATGATGAGTTCTTTTTTCCCCTGTGTTAAGGACCACATTGCTCTCAACGGATAAAACAGGTTTCACACTAAAACTGAAGCAGGATGTGTGTTTATGCTACTAATTGTATAAGGAAAAGAATGCATTTATGTTTTAAATTTAATCAAAAAATTATTATAAAATTGCTACAATGTGAGCCACTTAATTTGACTGCAAGGTACGTTGTGTGTGTGTGTACTCTATTAAGGCTGCACGATTAATCGCAATGAAACCGCACACGATTTGGCAATGGCTGCGATTAGTTTCTGCGCAGTTTGTCGGTAGAGTTTATCGGTAATATCGGTAAATTATCGGTAGATTAAATTATCGGTAAATTAAATTATCTGTTTATAATTATCTGATTATAATTATCTGATTAATTATCGGTAGATTAAATTATCGGTAGAGTTTATCGGAGTTTAGAGTTTATCGGTCGGTAGAGTTTATCTGCACAGTTTTTTTCTCACATAGACTCACCAAATATGCTCCACTGCAAAAGTACGATAACCACCGCTGTAGCTGAATAAACAAGATTGAAACGCTTTGATTAAACATGACTAATAAACACACGACTGCCTTATTGTGTGTAAGAAGCCACATCATCTCACAAAAGGATGCTCAACTGTTGTTATTAAAGGGGTCATGAACTGGCTTTTTAAATTTTATTATTGTTGTCTGAGATCAACTTATGACGTTCACTTGGTTTTTGCATTCAAAAACATCAAAATGAATAAGTAATAGGCTATTTTGTAGCCAAGTTTTGGGCCTATCTGAAAAACGCTCGGTTTTTATGGGCGTCTCGCACTGAAGACTTGGAAGTAAACGCCCACTGCTGTGAGTGGAGAACAGTTTTGCATATTATAATGAGTTTCAACTCACCCTTCGGTGTTCTGAAAACGTCCAATGTTGTAAAATGGCAACCGGAATGATTCGCCCGTACATGTTCGACCCAGAGTCGGCAAAGCACCGTCATTGTGTGACCTTTCTTTGTATAAAATGTGGTAGGATCAGTAACAATAGTGTATTGAATTTATATAACTGAATGACGTTATCACAAAATGCCATATACCTGTAACAAGTTCTGGCAACCAAAGAGAAAATATATTGAGTAGCCATACAATAAATGAGTCCGTCTGTCTGTGTTTATATTTATTATCCCTCAGATACACCATTATATGTTGACCTAAATATAGGCTTACATACTGTCTCTATAAATTGTTTTCCCACTCTATAAATTATTATGGACTCATGCATGTACTCGTAAGATATGAGTTTACTATCAACATGGTGAACAACTGTATACTGTTTATTTTATTGTATCTTCAAGCAGTGTAGTGCAAATTATTTCATCCTGCCTGCAGACCAGTTAATCACAGATACTTTCAGGATGGATGAAGTCTGAAATGTCTCTTGCTTGGTTTTTCCTTGTTTGGTTTTTCCAGGTGTGGAAAGGAGTGTAGACACAACATTGGCATACTTAGTGTGGCCTTCAGGGAACTGACGTCTTCCTTGTTTTCTGGACTCCAAAACTCTCAGCTAAAGTAATAAGAGAACATGAAGATGTCAGTCCCACAGTGGTGGTGATTTAGTACTGAATGTGCAGATGGCTGGTTGTACATTAATTGTGTGAGGTTCTGGTGGGGCAGGACACTTTGACTCTGAACCACTCAGAGTTCAAAGAGTAGGAGCATCAGATATCAGATTACAGTTGAGTAAAAACCTGATTCCCCAGCAGAAGAACTAGAGTTCATGATTGTGACCCCAAAGGGCTGTTTTTCTCATTTAGTTTAAGGCGTTTGTGTTTATATTATGCCAAATTCTACCATTGATTGCTGCTCACAAACAAATATTTTATTGACTGTTCATAAAATTTTGTTACCAAAAATGTACATGTAGACCGAGCCATAATGTAGGGGAAACTTAAGTATTTCTCAGAATGGGTTTGCATATTTTTGTAGCCAAGACTTTAAAACAGGCCTATGTAAAAAAAATCAAATAAAATGAATGTATTTATCCTATTTGATGGCAATAAAATACTTTAGAAAATAGTTCTTGAAACAGCAGAAATAATTGGGCTTATGACTCAAACCTGTGTGTGTTATTGAGATTTAGTCCTTGTGCCAACCTCCTTTTAAGAAAACCACAGCACATTCCATGCGGCTTTTTTACACCCTTGAAAGGCACTTCGGGAAGAGTACGCCATTTGCCGGAGCGTTCCAAACGAAGCGAGCAACTGAATCCCTTTTACGAAGGGCCTTTTCACATGTCCGTTAGCGAAGGGAACATGCAAAGGTCACTTCAAGGAAGTTATTTAATTTATTTATGTTGGTCTTCCCTTCAGAGTGAATAGGGCATATGGATGCTCACTTCCAATTAAAATTGGCCCCATTCTCTACTAAAATAATATACATGACAAGAGCTCAATGCATTCATAATCTGTTGAGTAGTCTAATATATAATATAATATTATTTGGAGAGTAATGAGACTTGTTGTAAGGAGTTACAGATTTATTTATTTTGGTGAAAGTACAATTTTATTTTAACATCACACACCCTGACCTTTTTTTTAAAAAATATTAGCCTAATAAATTAATAAATTATTATTAATTTCATTTTTTTGAAAAGGCAGTCACAAAATCAGTCAAATAGTTTAATATACCCTGAAGTTGTTTACGGTTGTTCGGTGCAAGGAAAGTATTTAGTATGCCTACTTATTTTACATCACAGCAGATTTTAGTCAGAAGGCATATATTATTTTGTACAAAACAGTTGACTATGAGTAATTATATGTCAGGAACTTGTTTTTTCCAAAAAAAAAAAAAAAAAAAAAAAAAAAAAAAGTCCGTTTTTATAATTTTTGACATCAGTAGGCTATTTGTCAAAAAGGGCTATATTTATTGCTTTTTAGACGACGTGCAAACACTGTGTTTGGTGGCAGTGTTTTGCCTGTTGCAAAATGCGTTATTTTCCAGTGCCAATTTGATCGCTTTTGCCGTTATGCAGGTGCGTCAGTTTTTAATCTGCCCAGTAGGTGGGACTTGATGCTCGGATCATGGACTCTCTCTCTCTCTCTCTCTCTCTCTCTCTCTCTCTCTCTCTCTCTCTCTCTCTCTCTCTCTCTCTCTCTCTCGACTGCGCTCTGACGCTTTAGTCTTCAAGCCGGAGCTCCAACAACCTGAAACTGCTCGACAAACATCACCGTGGAGACGGGGAAGCTTGTACCATGCAGCCCGTAGAGGAGGACAGACTGGGACCGTTGATTTTTGAGCCCTTTCTACATTGACGGAGTATTTCCCCCCCTCTTTTGTTGGGGACATTATTGCGATCTCATTGATCTAACATACCTTTACTCCCATCCACGCACCCGCGCGCGCTCTCGCATCACTGGACGGATACGCGGAGCGCTTTCGATTCCGTTCCCGTTGAACACTAACCCCCCTCAAGGAGCTAAAACATTAAGGAAAACACCTGGAAACATGGATTTATTTTCCACCCCACCTCGCGTTTGCTGGTGGAGGATCCTGTTTCTCCTCAGCATCTTCCAAAATTACATGAGCTCCATGCTGGACTGCCCACCGACCTGCACTTGTTCTACCACTGACATCTTTTGCAATAAGTCTTACCAAGGGAATTTCCTTCCCCTCTTGGCACTACAGGACACCGTGAGCGACGGGAATACCACTAACAGCCTCCCGGACCTGTTTGAGAACATCTCCTCTATGTAAGTCAAGCGCACAAGTGTCCATCACATGTTGAGTCCATGTGTGCATCGAGATCAACTCTCAGCCTCCCACTCACTCCAGGCTTTGTGTTGGTGTGTGGGATGATAAGAAGGGTTTTGATGACGGGCAGTTGCTTAAAACGATGTTACATGGATATAGAAGATCTATTATGCATGAATTGAATGTCCATATTAAAATCAGCTGTTGGATATTTGCGATTCCATTTTGCACAAAGTATACCGTCCATGCTAAAAATTCCCAAGTGCATTGGGGACAATTAATTGCTACATCTCAGCATAAATGCATCTGTATTTTGGCTTCACAGAGAGGAGTCTTTATTGAGGCTGCTTTGTATTCAAGACAGGAATCCCTAAAGGAATTTTGTCACATTCGTGAGCTTCGTGAAAGGTGCATTGTGCTATTAAAGAGAGATTTAGAGAGAGAGAGAGAGAGAGAGAGAGAGCGAGGAAAAAAAGGTTTGCATGAGTTTGAAGTCACACACCGGTGTGCATCGAGATTTTAATATCACATCTCATTTTTGCATTCATTTCGGCTGATGTTTCAAGTCGAATAAGTAATAGAAGACAGAAACATTAATGCTGTAATAGCTATATGATGGTCTTTTTGCTCTCTGATGGTTTCTGGATAAATAAGAGAGCTGCGTAATGGCCCTCAACTGATCCGAGCAAATAAATAATAACGCCCGGAGCAAAGAAAACATTAACGTCGTTGTCTTAAACCGGCTTTGGATGCCAAATAATGACATTTTGCATTTCGTTTTGCCATATTAAGACATCAATTCTCTCTCTCTCAAAGTTTTTTTCTCGTATGGGCCATCTTGTGGTTCAGCACTGGTTCTCCTGGACATGACACCAGTCTGGATGATGTTTTTATTATGCAATAGGAATAATTTAAGGTTGCAAATGTACAAAAAGCAAGACTGATCATGTTCCCTTTGACATAATTTCAATGCCATGCAGCACCGAGAACAGAAGAGTGCGCTTTGGTGGAACAAAAACCCGATTGATGATTGATTCTTTGTTGGGAATTGCCTACAAAGGGATGCCATGACAACCCTATAGCGCTTTGTGACAGATTCTCATTTTTCCCATCGCATTCTATCAGGCGAATTGCATAATAGTGTGTGCAAACTGATGCATGAGCTCAACAGTTTCTCACAGCCCCGTCTCCAGTCACTTTGTAAGACCACTAGAGGGGATAGTGGCAACCTTTTCCAACATCTAAACTGGAAAGCCAGCATGCACCGATCAGGGAACATGTCTCGAAAGTGCCTGTCCTTTCTCGCTTGTTTGCTTTAGGCACAAGATTTCATTTTGTGTAGCAGCTGTATAGAGTTCAGCACCCCCGGATGCTGGACAGCTCCCGTAACTCCGTTTCTTGTCTTCCACACGGCACATTTTGTTGGTTTTTCTTATTGACACCAAGGATCTTGGAGGTTCTACAAATAAATGTATGATAAATAATGTCCAACATCCAAAATGTGATGCGGTTACTTCAGGAGCAGGATTGAGAGCTTTCCTGAAAAAGAGGCCTACGTTTTTATTTGGCATTCCCTGACGAGTCATCAACCCACTTTTATTGTATTTGCTCGACCTTGACCAATTTACAAATGATGGTGATGCTCTATCAGGCCAACTAGCTTTAATGTTTCTATTACAGCTGAAGAAAGGCCAACTGAAACCTTTCTGAAGTTCGAGGGCATTTAGAGGAGAACAACCGGGGCAAGTTGTTACATGGGGAAGCATTGCATTTAGCTTTTGAGTTGAAATGTACATACGTAAAATTGTACATAAATATCAAGTCAGGACAGGTTTATTTATATTTATTGTCCCCCCTCCCCCATATATATTTATACTGTATATATTATATTTATTCACTGTAAAAAAATATTTTCAACATTTGTTATCACAACATTTTTTCTCTTGTCAAATCAACTTAAATAATTTATTTAGTTCAGATAACTTATTATTTTGAGTTTCTGATGATTAAATCAATCTCCTTCATTGTATTAACTCACTTTTTTCCAGTTCAATCAACTTAAAATTTTAATGCAACCAGGTTACCTAACTTTTAAGTTAAACCAACAATATTTTTTTTACAGTGTACTTTTAAATTGGACTTTTTTGCCATTTCATGTACTTCACAATTGTTTAAATGTAGCTTGAAAGGAGTTAATTTCCTGTTATACTATAGGCTATTTAAATGCTTTTATTTGGTCAAAAATACATCAAATGTAATTCATTCCTGGCATGACAAAGCTTCAGTGTCACATAAATCATTGTAATATGCTGATTTTACTGGAAATATTTCCTATTATAAATGTTGAAAACAGTATTTTTCATCATTCAACTGATTAATATTTTTGTACTATACCCTTTTTCAGGATTCTTTAATGGATAAAAAGTTCAAAAGAACATCATTTATTTCAGATTGTCTTGAGATACTCTTTAAAAGTCTTTACTGTCAATTTTGAATGATTTAATGCATCGTTGTTGAAGAAACATATTCATTTATTACAATTCACAAGGTATTTTAGCAAAATGTTAACTTGGATAATTATACAGAAATGAACTAACTTTTTAGGAAATATTCACTAGACTTAAAAGCGTAAAAACTATCCCGCTATTTTCTACTTATTGAAAAGTGCTTATATAGCATTACCACCAGGATTTGTGCAATGCAGGAAACTCCAGGACAATTATTTAATTATATGCAAACAATAAAATGTTCCTGCATACAGAGAAACCAAAGTTAATTTTGGTTTTGTTGTGGTAGTGTAGCTTTAATACAGGTGCTTTTTCATTTAGCAGTGGCTCAATGCATGTGTATTATAATTAAGCATCCAGTGTTTAGAATATTACTAGGCCTACTTTTTAGATTTTACATTGGCCCCAAAAAAGATTTTAGAAACCTAAACCACACTTAAACACCAATGACAATCACTGTAATACGTCTTTCTAAAAGTTCGGTTAAAAAATTTTAAATGAAATGAATTTTTAACCCAACATTTGGGTTTGTCCATATTTTACTCAATTTTGGGTTAAAACAACAGCATTGTTTAGAATGTACATGTAACACATTTCACATATAGAGGTGTACTTTTAAGTTTAGGTTTAAACAACTGTTTAGATTCTGGAATGACACTTGAGGGAAACCGATTTCACACGTCCACCAAAAGATGTTTTGTAATCTGTCCAAAATACTTCTTTGGGGGGGCCACTGTAACTAATGTGGATTCGTATTGGTTGGCATCACAGCTGGTTGAGGACAGATCCATCCATTTTTGCAGTTTTTTGTGAAGGTTTTTGAATAACCTCAAGAGAGAATAACCTCTAGTAGAGATTGTCATGCTTGCATATGCCCGCAGCTTTTACAATATTGTCCTCCCCCAGCTTTGCTGTAGTCTTCTGTTTTGTTGTGCATCAGAGTAAGCAAGGACCCTTTAGTGTTGATCATTTGTTTGCATCAAGCCTATCCATTACGCTAATTGTCTTTTTTTGTACTCTCAATAATGGTATTTCTGTATTAGCAGCACTATTCTTTTATTTTGCTAATGGAATGTCATAATGCATGGCCAGAATATGAACAACATACCAGATCTCTCTTATTTTAACTCTTTATGCTACAGCAAAAATGCTTATGCAACTAGACTGCTATTTTATCGTTGCATTTATATTTGCTTAGTATTTTTAATAGGGGCCTATTATGTGCTTGTACAAAGTATTGTTTTGGTTTTGAGGTCTGCTAATTTTTTTTCATGAATGTTAAAAACATGGATTTTACATATTTTACATGCTTGCATCTAGTGGTCGACCGATATATCGGCCGATATTTGCCATTTTTAAAATATCGGCATCGGCCGATAAGCTTTTCCGATTGGCCGATGTGTTGGCAGCGGGACCTTTATTTTGACGGGCGGCGCTGAGAAGAGAACGCAGCGCCTGATCAATGTTCACATAGCGCTCTCTCACATTCTTGGAAGAAAACTCAAGACTACAATTGAGCCGTTTCAGGGAATTTGAAACAGTGCTGATATAGACAATAACTCCCTTTGGAGTGACTGTGTAACTTTGCAGACATTTTTCAGGCTTAAACAGCAAAATTAAAGAAAGTTGAACATGTAAAAAGTCATAATCGATCCCCTTTAAAAAGGTCCACCTCAAAAGCTGAGATTTATTAAAGGGATAGTTCACTTTGAAATTAATTTTTGATATGTTTTATCTTACCTCAAGGGCATCCAAGATGTAGGTTTCTTTGTTTCCACAGTATTTTCAATTTTGTCATTTTTCAGTCAAACCGTTGTTATCTATCAGTCATACACTGGAGGCTAAGGGGGTCCACCAAAAAGCATGCACAGAGAAGTCAAAATTAAACATGATTTAATGACTCGTAAATGTAAGTACACATTGATGGCCTAAGACACGAAACGAGCGGTTTTTGTGAGAAAAAGAACAGTATTTATATCATTTTTACCTCGTGTAATCACAGTGATCTGAATCAGTTGTGCAATGTCCAACTGAACCGAACTGAATCAGTTCAACGTTACGCCGGAAGTGATCGCTTGCATGTGACGTCACTCAATATTTACACGGAGATTTCGGAAGTTTTACCTTTTACTAAACATATTTAGATATACCGAAATCGTCTTCCATTGCGGTTTTCCGTATATCTAAATACGTTTAGTGAAAGGTAAAACTTCCGAAATCTCTGTATAAACAAAGAGTGACATAGGCGCGCAAGCGATCACTTCCGCCCGTGCCGTCAGATCATTTTGTCATGGCTATGATTACACGAGGTAAAAACGATATAAATACTGTTCGTTTTCTCACAAAAAATGCTCTTTTCGTGTCTTAGGCCATCAATGTGTACTTACATTTACAAGTCATTTAGTCATGTTTAATTTTAACTTTTGGTGGACCCCTTTAGCCTCCCGTGTATGACTGATAGACAACAACGGTTTGACTGAAAAATGTCTAAA